AAAAAAAAAAAAAAAAAAAACGGAACTTATTTGGCCTGCCACACTTAATAAACTGAAATACGTTGTCACTTCCAATTTTATTATTACTAGTGTTGATACCCGTGCGATGCACGGGACGCAATACAAACAATATTTATGTTTCAAATAAGCTCTAAATTCGGCTAAATTTTATTTTTTGTACACTATGTAATTTTACTGCAATTTTTCAGTCATTTGACCGTAAAAATTCTCAATTTATATATTTGTGATGAATTTTGATTATTAATTTAAGTTATGTAATTTAAAATTTTGCTGCAATTCAAATGTTTTGACAATAAAATTAGGAATTTTAATGGTCAAATGATGAAATTGCAGCAAAATTTCAAATTACAGTATGAATTTAGAAAGTGTGAGTAGAAGTTGCCTGTAATAAATAACTCAAATAAAGTGAAAAGATGGAATTACGAAAAGAAGAAAAAATTGATTATAATTTATATCTGATTTTTATATCAATTTCTTTATCTAACAAAAGCCATTAAAAATCTAATTATTTTATTTACGTTTTTTTTGTTGGGTAGAAAAGAAATCGAGTCATACAACAAAAAGTCATCCCGTTCCCCAGGCGCCCCCTCCCTCTCTCTCTCTCTCTCTCTCTCTCCTAGCTGGATTCCAGCTGGCACAATCATACTGATACGACCGACGCGCATTATTTTTCTTGCCTTCTCAAAATTTTCATTTCGTATATACTTCGTACAAATTTATGTTTCAAATAAGCTCTAAATTCATGCTCCATCCATTGATTCATCCTTAATTTCAGTCTCACTGATTTTTTTCTTCATCTACTTCATTTTCTTATTTTTTTTTATTTTATACTTTTGATTTCTTTCCAGCAGTGTTCTGTAGCTGCATTTTCATATCGAACACAATGGATGAATTTGGTGTCTTGGTTGAGAGCATTGGGTTCAGAGCTCATGGAAAATCAGCTCCCATGGCCAAATTGAAGCCCAAACCCAAATCCCATATCGCGCCCAACGTCACCGCAAATGCTCCGTCGTACGGCGATCCATATTCCTTACCCGTTGACGAGCTCGATGGAATTTTCCGATCCAATGTTAATATCAGTAAAGCTAGGCAATCGCAGAACGCCTTTGTTGACGATAATATTTTTGGTGGGCCCGTCTCGAGTGCAAGCCAGTATGGTGGGATCGATTTGGAATCCGTGTTTTCCAGCTCGAATAAGAGGAATTCTGCAGATTCCTATGGCTTTGATGATTTACTGGGGTCAAATTCGAAGATGGCAGATCCTGTTGATGATTTGTTTGGGAATTTTGGGCTCAGTTCTAGTGGGAATCAGGGGAAAAATGATCATGGGTTGGATGATTTGATCCCGGGATTTGGAGGAGCTGCCACTTCCAAGAACAGGTATTGGGTGTACTTGAGGTTTGAAAATTGATGTTTGTTTGGCTATTGTTCGATTTTCGGTCTATGTTGTGTTGTGCAGTCTTGCTCACTGTAAATAGTTTTAGCATCACAAATTACTTATCAGTATTGGGGATTTGTGATGGATTTGATTGGGCTGCATGGATTTTATCATATGTTCTTATGCAATGCCATTTTTTTGGTTTTACTATTCTTTTTTATCTGTTCTTTATCTTCACATATGCTATATGAATTACTTGTTGAGATTGTCCTATGCCTATTCCTTTAGCAGAGTACACCCTGAGGCAAAGTCAAATTGGCATCCATCTATGCCTAGATCGACAGGGATTGATGATCCTTTCTTAATCTTTGAATCATCTGCGTCTCAGTCAGATGCCTCTTGGCTGTTTAATGAACCCTCAAGCAAAGTTAATGTAAAAAGTTCAGTTCAATCTACAGCTAACGGCTTTGATAATTTCTTCATGGATGGGCCTCCCGAGAGTGGTTCAAAAGTTGTGAGGAACACGGCTAACAAGCCAAGTTCAGGCACCAGTTCAAATGGCTTTGAAAATGCCGATTATTTTGATGCAATTTTTGGTGGCAGCAATGCTGGGCAAACTAAAAGTGCGAAACAAAGTTCAACGGCTCAGGTGAAATTTTAATCTGCGCACTTGAAATAATTTTCTACGTTATATTTGTTTGATAATACTTTTGATAGATTTAGTTGATCTCATTTTGTTATCCAGAATTCGTCTTTTGATGATTTCTTCCACCAAGAAGTGCCTAAAAACACTTCTTCAAAGCCCACATTCAGCACAAAGAAGGCGCCTTCTGCTACAAATATAGGCAATGACTTCACTTCACTTTTTGGAGGTACTTTCACTGGCTAAACCTTTCATCCCTTACTATTCAGGTTTAGTTGATGCATAAGTTGTTATTTAGTTCAATAAGTACCTAGCACGGTTTTTGTGGACCATAATTGAGGGACATAACTAGCCAAATGGGTGTTAAGCCACTCGTCCGATAAAAACAAATGGGATAAAATTCTTGATGCATGCATAATGTAGAGAAGATGAAATCAATTGTATTTAAGTGAGCAATGTACTTGTTGACAATAACATCATTATGAATGTAGAGTTCTTTGTTATAAAGTGAGTGTTGATCAAAATGTTACGAAAAAATAAAAATTACAATGTTAAGCAGAAAGATTAAAGCCGATGTGGGAATATATTTTTTCGCTAGACAAATACGCCACGTATAGTGCTAACGGTTGGTGCATCTTGTCCCAAAGATACAATGACAAACGTCTCGTAAGCTGTAGTACACCAAACTTAAGAGTTCCGGCGAACTAGAACATTGTCTAGAACTGAAAACTATGAAAACTATGTATGATGCGTGTTGCGTGAGGCTTTCAATACAGTGTAAGTAGGCATGTAAATGAGCGAGCTCGAGCTTAGCGTGCTCGAGCTCAAGATCGAGCCCTTGACGAGCTGAGCCGTGCTCGGCTCCTTAAAGAAATCGTTTATCACTATTAACGAGCCGAACTATAAAAAATTATATAAAATTCTCTTTTCGAACCTTAACGAGCCTTATTGAGCCGAGCTTGACTTGTTAACCAAACGAGCTTAAAATGAGCTCGAGCTTGGCTTGTTTGATGAACCCAACTCGAGCCGAGCCAAACCAGGCTCGTTTAATTTAACAGCACTAAGTGTAAGGATGCGGATGTATGTTCAATGTTAGTGTCATGTGCAACTCTAAGAGCTCGGAGGACCAAAGGTTAGCTGCCCTAGCAAGTAACAACCTAGTCATGGTTGTTGTAATGGACATAAACGTTTTTGGGTGTTAACACACTATCACTCGCCATGATAACTTCCGAAAAGGTTAGGTGGATTCAACATGTCCAGATACATGCATCTGGTGAAGGTCACACGGGTTGGATCAAATCCAGGTCCATAACCCAACTCAACAAAAATATTTATAGGATTGGGCCCAAGGCCCAAGCCCAGACTGTCCAAGGCCGCCCAAGTCCAACCACAGTCCAATTGCCAAGGACTATAGCCAAGGTCTAGACCTGTGCTCGAGCGACCGAGCCGAGCTGAGCCAACCGGTGGACGCGCGTGTGGCTGAAGCCAATACTAACTGAGTAACACTTAGTATATAGCTTCGTTGTTGTTGTGACCTCTCCAACTTCCTTTACTATATAAAAAAGATTTGTCCTCATTTAATAGTCTAATATGGGATACGACTCTTGAATCTTCGAATACCACAACCAGCGTTTTACGTGCCCGGGCACATGCAGATCATACAGTAAATATGGCAAAACGAAAAGCATACCCAAGTGATTTGAAGCCTTTGTAGAGCTTAAGTTAGTTACGGGGCTCACTGAACCAAATACAGAATATCAATTAATATACATTGTGAAAGTCGTTTAAAACTTGACAAAATGTGGAGCATACAACTTGGTTTGGCTTCTCTTTGGTTTGCTAAAGATGTCTTGCAGTCGTCATTATGACTCCAAGGAATGGTGCAATTCGATCAACTTAATGATGGAGCATTCCCATTTACTTGACGAGTCTTTGTTGAGCATTATCGAAATTTAAGGAAAATTCTTGTCTGTTTAGGGATATGTATGCTGATTTCGGATGATATGAATAATCATAATCTTTCATGTGTAAACAGTCAAACTAACAGCACTGTAGCGGCTTTATAAACCGGAGTTGCAATTGTGATATATTTGTTAGTACGGTTAGAAAGATAAAATTGTTTTATCTTATTTTCGATGGTTATTCGTATTAGTTCCTAATTCGTATGCTCTACGAAAACAGTTTTTCCACTGATAACCGACTTCTTGCCCGTGATTCAAATTGTCTAACACTGCCATTAGAATCAGCATTCTCTGTCTTGGAATAATTAGTTCAATTTATGCACCGTTACTTTCCATAAAGATGTAATTAGAATAAATGGTGATTTACTATTTTGCTTGCATTTCAACTAATCACTGGATACATGCCTACTTGCAGATCTTGACACTTCATCTGGAGAATTTCATGAAATCGAGGGGGAGCCCGCAGAAAGACGAAAAGCTCGGTTAAAGCGTCATATGAAAATGAATGAACGGATGGTATGTTTAAGAGTGCTTAACTAACCCAATTTCATTACGTTTAAACCAATTACCCAATTAATAGTGTAGTCTATTTTTCCATCCCCAGTAAACACATTTTCCTGGTCATGAGAATGTTGTTTTTATTTGACTCTTTGATTTCCATGCAGTGTATTTCAGAATTATTATTATTACTATTATTATTATTATTATTATTATTATTATTATTATTATTTTTCTATTTTCCAGGCTGAGGCACTTGCTGAAAAGAATCAACGTGATCTACAGATTCAGTATGAGCAGGAAGAGAAACGTGTAAGACTACTGACCATCTCAAGAATGCATGATGCCCACTGTGGCATTTGAATCTAAAAAATATAAATGTGTGTTTATGTGCGAACTAGGCACGCCACATTAGCTTATGATTTCCATGACCTTTTATTTCTCTTCATTGATTTGAACTTTATTTCAGAGGCTTGCCGAGACCCTGGACAATGATATAAAGAGGTGGGCTTCTGGGAAAGAAAGCAATTTACGTGCCTTGTTGTCTTCATTGCAGCAGGTGAGTATCTTTAGACATTTATTTACTTGTTCTTTTTTCTCATGAAAGTTCAATATCTCATCACTTCTGGAGTTTGAAATATTTCTTGAGGATTAAGATTGAACAAAGGTTTCTCTTCACCTTATAAGCTTGATGATTGTTGTTGTATGAAGAAAAAATTAGAAATATACTCAAAGTGCACAAATATTTCATCGTTACATTTTGTCCAGACAAGTTGCAAGACTCAAATACACAACAGTTGGTTGGTTGGTTTTATTTTTTTTCCTCATTTGAAGACAATAATATCTCTACTTACCGTATGCTTTACACTTTACAGGTTTTGGGGCCAGAAAGTGGCTGGCGCCCGGTTTCATTAACAGATATGATTACTTCTGAATCAGTGAAAAAGGTTTATAAGAAGGCAACTTTATACGTCCATCCAGACAAAGTTCAACAAAGAGGAGCAAATCTCCAGCAGAAATATGTGGCCGAACAGGTTTTCGATATTCTCAAGGTATTCTCTCTAAGTTTCTTACCAAGCTGCATGATTTTTATGCCTAGCATAGAAATTAGGTCCGTTAAGAAATTAATCACTGGTGTCTTAGGCTCTTAGCCAAATCGAATGAAAAAAAAAAGGGACTAATTACAAAGTTATATACATTCCATCACATAAGTGAAGCCTCTTGTGTGGGCTTATGATCCTGATATCCTGGGATGGAATTAGCTTAGTTTTTTTTCGAACATGTTCATATTTAGTCCTGTTAGAAGTAGACTAACTAGCTCTTCGAATTCTTATGGTCTATTAGGAAGCATCGAACAAATTCAGCGCCGAGGAATTGCGATAAGTTCTCCATACAGATATTTTCATTCCTAGTGTTTAGTTTTGAAGAAACTAACGAGGAGGTCCACTTTTAAATGAATATATAATATAACATCAATTAAATGGCAGGTGGTGGTACTTATTCGATAGATGGATAGATAGATATAATTTACAAATATTAATACTTTTGTGTAGATAATGGTGGTAACAGGTGGTGGTGGTACTTTTTCTTTCTTTCGATCTCTTCCTTTTGGTTCGAGTCTTTTTTGTGTTTCCCTTGGGTTTCATCTCTAGCCTACCCCGACTTGCTTGGGACTAAAGGCTATGTTGTTGTTGTTGTTGTAAACACTCCCTGTAGATTAAAACAGGAAATAAATAGCAAATGATTTCTGAATTAAAATATGTGGAGATTTCAGGATTTGTCTACAACTCCGTCACGGAATGATTACGTGAGGGATTTTAGCCATCAAATATACAATTATTGTGTACAATTATTTTATCTGATGGTTAAAATCCCTCACAAAATAATTCCGTAATGGGACCGTAGACAAATCCGAGATTTCTATGAGATAAATTTGATAACTTCATAATCAATTTCCATCCCAATCACCTTTTTAGGGTGGAGGACTAAGAAGATCCTCAATCTTTGGAATTTGATACTACTTTTCACATAGAATCTCGGAGGTCCATTAATGGTGCCCCATTATCAACTTGACATTTTAGAAATATAACTATGCATCTATTATCTCAATTAATTAAAATAAAAAAGAAAAATAAAATAAAAAAAGGTTCTGTGTTCCAAGCTCTGATTGGATTTTGGCAGAGTTGCGAAAGATCTTCGTAAAAAGGTCTTGATTTATGCAAAATCAAAGATCATCACCACCGCATTTGGGTGTGCCCCACTACCTACCTACCTCTGTAATAAAAGTCGGCCTAGGTCTTGCCTAGGCGTTAGATAGGGGTCGACACTCTGTATCCTTCTTGAGGTTTAGTCGATGCGTGGGTGGCACCCGTTTTTACTGTACACAAATCACATTGCGACACCTGGCTATAACTCATTTCAGAATTTTTTATTTTTTTCCAGCCCTTTATTCCAAACTAGTACATGCCCCGTGCGATGCACGGACTGTAATTATCTTATGAAATATTAAAAATTGAATGATATGAATCAATAAGTAATAAACATTATAAATTTTTAGTCATGAAATGTATATTTCTTTTATGTTCTATAAGGTGTTTTTCCGTATGGTTGTGATAGGATATTTATAATCCCCACACTCGTTTTTAAGAGCAACACATATCTTTTAATATTAAGAAATATGAACAAATTATTTTGTATATTATAAATTGATGTGATAGATACCAAAGACTATGTTTATCTCGTGAAAATGCTAGTTTATGGCAATTTCCAAATACAATTATCATATAATGTGGATTTTTTGATTATCTTGTTTACTATATTAGTAATTTTATACATTGAATGGAAATGTAATATTTTAAATTTTTTTGCTAACTTCCATAAGTGATTTAGTTTGTCCAATTTGTAGTTATTGCGATAATATGTAATAACGTGACAAATTATTATTTTTATCGGCTGGAATGAAAAATATTAACTCAAGATTTATAAAATTGGTATTGTAAATAATGGATTTGTGATTATCTACTTATTTTGACATTTTTTTTTGTGATTTATATCATTGTAATTTTATACATAGAATGGAAATGATTCAAATGTAATCTTTTAATTTATTTTGTTGCGTTCCACAAGAGATCTAGTTTGTATAATCTGTAGTTAATGTAATAATTTGTAGTGACATGATAAAATATTGTGTTTATCGGTACAAAGAGAATATATTAAAATAATATTTTTAAACAAACCGTGTAAATTAGATCTTTACCACAAAAACAACAATAACATTAAAAAGGGATCATATCTCAGAATTTATCGTAAAGCAAAACCAAAAATAAAAACTGAGTATTATATTAAGATCGTCTTTAAACAAACCGTGTAAATCAAATGTTTACAAAAAAAATAGCGGAAACGTTACAAAGGAATTGTGTATCAGAATTTTTCCACAGTCAAAACCAAAGATAAATCTGATTTTCATTTCGAAATGCAAAACAAAATTTATCCGATATGGAAGGAATATCATCCAAAAACAGTTTCCGAAAAAATTCAAAGTTCCGAAAAATAGATTTAAGCGGAATCCGAAAAAATTTCAAACACAATATTAGGGGGAAAAACAAGTTTTAAGCGGCAAAATGACATATTTTTTCAAATAATTTTTCTTCTCTGTATTATATATTAATAGATTCCAACATATTTCAACATTTCTTTTTTAATTTACAGGTAACCATGGTTTAGTCCAAGTTCCAAATCTGAAAATTTCAGATCGCCGCCCGATTCGTGAGAAATAAAAATTAGATCTGAAAATTTCAATTTCAAAATTATGAGAGATCTGAAACATCTCTCTGCGAGAGAACTAAAAAGAAAATTCATCGTCTGATTTCCTGATTGAAGAATCTCGCCCGTTTCTAGCAAGCCCTGAGGGATTCGCCCGTTTACAGAAAGTTCATCCCCCGCCCCGATTCACAGGTAAATTTCAGATTTTTTTTAAATTCGTCCCTTTCAGATATGAAAATTGAAACCTCAGAAAAAAATACTTCATAGCCCGATTCAAGCATCTCATCTCGCCAGTTCAGATTTCATAAGCAAAGGAGAGCAAAGTGAGTCTCTTCGTGGTCGTGCTCGATAGAATTCTGATTTGTTGAAATCTCCCTCTTTGCTTTCTGAAAACGAATTTCCTTGTTTTACCTGTTTTATGTATAAATTTTGCTTTGTTTCTGATGGGAGTTCTTATATAAATTTACCCTAATGCAATTCAGCTGAAAACATTAGTTCTTTTCTTTTGTTCTGATGTTGTTCAATTTATCCGTGAAGCTGGTGATTTTGCGCGAACCCTGTTTGTTATTTGTTTTGATCCCTCCCATATGTGTATCGGAAGTACGTAGATTCTGTGGGGCTGAAATAGCAGAAGTCGAATATTAGACACAAACTTAACACACACACACGTGCACAGAGGGAGATGTATTAAGTATCTACACTTCCTTATACAACCTTCAACCCCACAGCCCCACAGAATCTACGTACTTCCGATACACATATGGGAGGGATCAAAACAAATAACAAACAGGGTTCGCGCAAAATCACCAGCTTCACGGATAAATTGAACAACATCAGAACAAAAGAAAAGAACTAATATTTTTAGCTGAATTGCATTAGGGAAATTTATATAAGAACTCCCATCAGAAACAAAGCAAAATTTATACATAAAAAAAAGGTAAAACAAGGAAATTCGTTTTCAGAAAGCAAAGAGGGAGATTTCAACAAATCAAAATTCTATCGAGCACGGCCACAACTCCTATTTTAGCTGTGAGTCGGGCGAGGGTGAGATGAGATGCTTGAATCGGGCTATGAAGTATTTTTTCTGAGGTTTCAATTTTCAGATTTGAAAGGGACGAATTTAAAAAAATCTGAAATTTACCTGTGAATCGGGGCGGGGGATGAACTTTCTGTAAACGGGCGAATTCCTCGAGGCTCGCTAGAAACAGGAGAGATTCTTCAATCGGGAAATCAGACGATGAATTTTCTTTTTAGTTCTCTCGCAGAGAGATGTTTCAGATCTCTCAGAATTTTGAAACTGAAATTTCCAGATCTAATTTTTAGTTCTCACTAATCGGGCGGGCGATCTGAAATTTTCAGATTTGGAACTTGGACTAAACCATGGTTACCTGTAAATTAAAAAAAAAAGGTTGAAATGCGCTGGAATTTGGAATAAAGGGCTGGGAAAAAATAAAAAATTCTGAAATGGGTTATGGCCAGGTGTCGCGATGTGATTTGTGTACAGTAAAAACGGGTGCCACCCGCGCGGGTGGCATCGACTAAACCCCTTCTTGACGCCATTGTAGAAATCGAGGCTCAACCCGAGTGATTAAAAGCCGTCGGATTTCAATTCTCGCTTGTTTTTACCTAATTCTTCTAGAGGTCCAATTTTCGATACTGCTTGTATTTCAACGCCATTCGCTATCGCGGACGAGTGGGGATTAAAATTCAAAGTCAGGTGCCCCTTCATTTGTAAACAGTAATGAATGAGTGGGGGATTCAGTTTCAGAAGTGAAATAAGGGTTTCATATGGTTCAGGAACAATTAGTTATTTGCACTGTCGTAAATCGTAACACGATATGATGCTCGATTAGATATACACAAAAGGTTCGTTGAGTGAAGGCCACGTACATGTATTTAACAATACCTTCAATACTAGTAATCATCATGTGCACGTGCACATATATATATAAAATAGTATAAGTAATATGTAAGAATTTAATATTAAAATTCTAGATAATGAACATATCCCATTTTCAAAATTTGATCATTTTATATTATTATTATTGTTAATATTAATTGTTTATTAGATTTTAAAGTGGTCTGATTATGCTATTAAAACTATTTAGCTAATTGTTTAGAGAAAATTGTGTCACGAGAAGAATAGAATTAAAAATAATAATGAAGAAGAAAATGTGCAATAGAATTGTTTATACTTGGGTAATATGTATTTGGGGTGAATTACTATTAGTTAATATTAGCATTAACTATTATTTAATATAATAAAAAAAATATATGATTACACTTAATAGAGTGTATTAATGTTAAAGGTAAAAAAATATTAATGATATACTTTTTTAAACGAAATTGGAGGGAAACCAAAATATTTTTATTAATTGCTTTGCTAGCAATTAATATATATATATATATATATATATATATATATATTAATGAGGACAGCTCCTTGCAACTATAGACAACTAACCTTGCAACTACAGACAATTAACCTTGCAACTAGAGAAAACTAACATTGCAACTAAACAGAACTAACCTTGCAACTACAAATAACTAACTTTGCAACCAAAGACAACTAACGTTACAACTACAGACAACTAACCTTGCAATTAGAGAAAACTAACATTGCAACTAGACAAAACTAACATTGCAACTAGATAGAACTAACCTTGCAACTACAGATAACTAACGTTGCAACCAAAGACAACTAACCCTGCAACTAAAGACAACTAACCTTGCAACTAAAGACAGCTAACCTGGCAACTACAGACAACTAACCTTGCAAACTGAATACAACTAAACATTGCAAATAAAAACAACTAACCCTGCAACAAGATAGAACTAACGTTGCAACTACAGACAACTAACCTTACAACTAGAGAAAACTAACATTGCAACTAGACAGAACTAACCTTGCAACTATAGATAACTAACCTTGCAACCAAAGACAACTAACCTTGCCTTGCAACCAAAGACAACTAACCTTGCAACTAAAGACAACTACAGACAACTAACCTTGCAAACTGAATACAACTAAATATTGCATATA